ATCTTCACGTGTTCTCACCTGGGGATATACATGTCATCTCAGCATCATAAAACGCAAAGGGGGGAAGGGTCAAGAAGAAGACGTGTTTTGGTGGGGTGGGGGGGGGAGAGGAGAGGGGGGAGAAAGGATCAAGCACTAGGAAGAAGAGGGAAAGAGAAGAAAACGCCGCTTGCCGATACCTGGCTAACAACGCCGTCACCAAACACCACGACTCGTGGTTCGTGGGCCCCTCCCGGGCAAGGCGAGGCAACACCAAAGCCAGGATGACTCGTGCGCTGTGTGTTCCCGTACCTGATAGATCCGATTCGAGACGCTGCTACCCGATACGGCAAGTCCCCGTCCTTTCGGATGCACACGATTACAGGAAATCATTCAAGAGAGATAAGGACCAGGGGCTGCCGGCATAAAGCCTCGGGGTTGATACGTGCTCATGGAGAGATGGAAAATAAGATGAACTGGGGGATGCAACCATGATCTCTGCATTATTACGACGGTGGCAGCAAAGCCAAAACACCAACAGCCAACGAGGTCCATTTTAACGAGGGTGTTCAGAGTCAATGTGACAGCGTTGTGGTGACGGGGTGGCGGACGTAATGTCTCCTCATTTTACCTAATCTGTAACCAGTACATTGTCTCGTAATAATACTTGAGCGTATCGAGTTGGACTGATAAGGACTAGAACCCGGGATTGGGGAGAAATCATGTTCGGTCAGCCTAGAACAGGTCGGCGCCTTCTAGCTTCTACGAGCGTCGAGTATCAGTGTGGATGATGAACGAAGAGGCGTCGAAGAAAATCCAAAATTTCTCAGACAAGACAGGGAAAGAAGTCATGTTTTTTTCCTCTCTGCCATAGCCGCTGACCCGTCCTTGACTGTTTGCGGCAGCGGTACAAGGGACCGAGGGGAAAGAAGGGACGGAGCATCATTCCGCACCTGTATGGGTACATTCGAATTGACTGCAGAAGGTCCCGTCTGATTTTCTCCTTCTTCCTCGCGGGAATTAGTAATTAGTCTTCATCTTAGGAAATTACGCAGAACGGGGGTGCAAGACGAGCAAAAAAAGGGTAGAGGAGATAATAGACAATAGACAATAGATAATAGATAATAGATAATAGATAATAATATTAGCAGAATATCAGCAGAAAAGAATAATCTGGCTTCACGAACCGGGGGGGGGGGGGCAGCGGAATATAACTCCTCCCATGGAGCCATGGCCAGAATAACCCCCTCCCCGCTTCCTTTTGCAGATTCGCAAAGATGATGGATCATAATAGTTTGTTCGTCCGGCTTCGTTTGCCAAGATCCGATATGGTAGTGTAGGGTTGGTCAAGTACAGATACGGTATAACAACAATACGAGTACGAGTATTCCTAGACGAGGGGAGGAAGAAGAGTTTGATGGAGTTCCCTTGAGTACGAGATGATACGAGTACTCGTAGTCTTGCAGAACTTCTGGAACCGGCCCGGACCCGGTTCCCGATGGTGATTTTCTTTTAGTGGGAAGGGGGAAGGAATATCTCAAGGGAGGATTAACCGCTAGGTATTGATACTACTGCTAATAACAACACTGCAATTACTGCTCTGCAGTAGGTCGCATATATCAAATGTACATGTAGAATGAAAACGTGGTGAAACATGCCATTCAATTACTCGTACATGTAATTACATGCACACAGGCACGGCTTTCCATGTGCTTGATGCCGCCGCTGCTGCAAGAGCCATGGGCCGGTCCGGCCACAACCACGCAGGGGTCGGGGACTAGAAAGATCGTGGGGATGGGTGTTGGCCGAGTACGAGGGATATAATGATACTGTACAGTCTGCAATCGTACTAGACTGAGCGTCAGTATCACGACGTCTCTGCCTCCCGCCCGCGTAGCTGCACACACACACACAAACACACCCACAGAGAGAGAGAGAGAGAGAAGAGATAATCTATAAAGGCAGGGATCTATTCTCCCTCTCATCTTTGGCCGTGCATGTACCGCAACCTGAATGTAAGCATATAATCTCGCCATCAGCGGGGAGATATGGCGACATTAATCTTACTCCTCATCCATACACCTTCCAACTTGCAGACTCGTGAAATGACATGGTGGTGCTCTCTTGCCAGGAATAATGACGGGCTAATTGCACGTTTATGAGCTGCTCGTCATCATACACGTACCATCATATTACTCCGTACATGCAAATTACTAGGTAGAGCCGTCACTGTAGGAGCAGTGACAGGGGGGAGGCTGGATGAGGCCTAGAGGGGATACGGTGGGGGGGGGGGGGGGGGGGGTTGCTTCCGGGTACGAAATCAGCTAGTATTATTGCTAGCAGTATGGATTAATGTTATATGTAATATCATACGCCTTCCAAGATGCGGTGCTCTGATACGCGGTAGTATACTCGTATACATATATGCCTCTGGAAGACAACATGTACAGGTCAGCCATTTACTCCAAGCATGCACACGTATATTTACGAGCAGGTGAACATGCTGTAAACAACCCTCTCTCTCTCTCTCTGGCCCAGTTCGGGTAGCAGGACTCGTACACGTATCTTCCCACTGCCGCCGCCGCCAGTAGATACATCTTCCATATCTTTCGAATCATTGTGACCCACATACAACCGCTGCTGATTACCGCTGCCAGGTACACTCCTACGAGCAGTATCAGCAGCAGCAAATGCTACAGGTACTCTCTCAACTGTCCGCAACATTTCGGTGCCGCCATGTCACTGTTGAATGGTAATAACTGCCAGCTGCAGATACTCGTATATGTAATCTGTATACGGGACGTGGTAATAGTACGAGTACGAGTACCTGTACTCGTAATATGAGAGACTCCCTTCTCTGGATAGATAAACCCCGTGTATCAGACTGTCTCGTGGCTTGAGCTGCTTGCTACGGATATTATTAATGCATCAAACACCATGCGACGCACAACACCAAACTGCAACAACCATGTTCAAAAGCCAAGCACACTCAACCGCCCCCCCCCCCCCCCCCCCCCCCCCCCCCCTCCTTAACCAAGACTCTAGTACCCAGTATTACGAGTAATATTGTTCCGTAGTAGCGTGTCGTGCGCGTTCCGCTCGTACCTGCAGTCGCT